CACACACACACACACACACACACACATAGACACACACAGAGTTAAACTTGCGAAAATCTGCTTAAACACATGCAAAACCCACAATTTACAAAATACATTCTTGATTTTTTTTCTTCCTATATTCTTCTACAATATTTTTACTCTGCCAAAAAATAGTTATTTCAAACCAAATAACATTTTACTGTAAAATACATTAAAAAGAATGGAACACTAAGGAATTAGTAAATAGTAAAATAAGGCCATTTTAACTGAACCTTTTGACATCAGATTTGCAAAGTGGACCACCACACAGCACTGGAAGAATCAAAACGATGTATGCACGACAGATGAAACATTAACTGTGTTTGAGTGTTTTCAACTAACCACTGACAAAAGTAAAAGTCTACAACGCTCACGTGCCCCTTGTTTAAAAGAAATGCAGAATTAAAGTGGGGAGTAATTACAGTACACTTGAGTCGACAAGAGGAACCAGTCATATTTTGCATAAGAGGAGCTGAAGAGAAACWAAATGCTCCTTTAACCTGCTGCTCCTGCAACCAAGCTCTGTGGAAGAGAAATGGATGATGTTTGGAGCTTTTACTTTTTTATATATACCTTTGTGTTAAGTTAGCTTAATCAGTGATTGAACTTCAAGCATAAATTCTGATAATGGAAGCAGCAAAATTGGACTTTTTAACAAAACACCAAACTCACAGTGACTGATTGTGCTGCATGACTCCTGTTTCAATCTAACAGACAGTCCAATGATTGGTTTGCTATCATGTTAACAGTTCTGGCTTTTACTTTCATCTTAGTGTCTCAAAATGCTTTTTTTTTTTGTTGTTGTTTAGTTTGCAAAGCACGCTCCAACATGCAGCTTCAACAGTAAATCTTCAGCGTCTTGGTGGTTTTATGGTTAAAACCTCGCAGCTTTTGCATCAGAGACTCCACCCATCTCTGCTGTCCCGAAAGGGAATTACTAAAGGAGAAAGAGTGACGATTAATATAAAAAAAAAAAAACACAGGCAGGAGGAGAAACATAACCAGATCTTTTAATCTCTTGTGCTCAGAGTTTACATGACAAATGAAACCACAGACTTACTGTCTCACTCTCCCCATCCGAGCCTCTTCTGGACTCTGAGCTGCCGTGAAAAGGAGAGTTCACCCAGCTCTGGTCCTCCTGAGTCTGCAGTTTGAGCAAACGGCCAGCAGAGGGCAGCAAGACAGGAAATGGGAAAGAGAGTTTAGATTTCCAGACATGATTCAAACATTAAAGACATTAAAGTTGTACTTTGCAAGTTTTTGAGTCGGGAGAATTAATGCAAATTAGTTTAAAGTTAGCTTATTAAGCCAGTGCTGTAGTTTTACCAAATGTACCTTCATTAGGGGTGCACCGATTGCCATTTTCTGGCCTATCACTAAAAAGGCATACCTCAAATTTTGGCTGATGCCAATTTTTTTTTTAACTGACATTGTCAGGTGTCATAAAGTCATGATAAACCTTCAATGTTCCAGTCTTATTTCATTGAAAAACGTTTAGCAATACCCTTGAAACAATACAAACCTGCTTTAACTGGATTTGAGGTAGTGCTCACAGGAGAGCAAAAGGGGACAGTGGCTGATTTTCAGACCTTGAAGGTAGATAAGATCAGCTTCTCATCCAACTATCGGCCAATCGCCGAGCTCACAAAATTAAGGAAATCGGTGCCGATAAATCAGCCGGCCAGTTTATTGTGCACCCCTAACCTTCATTCATGCAAATTTAACCAAACATACAAAGTGCAACTTTATGAATCAAGTAACTCCCAACATCACAAAAGGCAGGTTTCAGTCTAGCAAAGCAATCAGTCTGTCAGCTAAAAGCAGCATTTTGGGGGTTAATCACTAAAAGCATTAAGCCTATCCAAGCAAAACAAACTAACTGCTCAGCCAGGATCCAGTATGTTCAAGTGAACAGTTTAGTGGAAATGAGAAGCCTAACTCTGAGGACTTTCTATTGATCCAAAACAGTCGTGCAGGGAATAACTACCAACACTGTGACACCTCCCAGCATTCTAAAGGACTAACTCAACTGGTGACTTACATTAAAACTTGAACTAGAGTTAAGCTTACGACGACCGAGAACTGGAGAGTACACCCAGTATCTTCCATCTGCATACTGATGGTCGAACACACACAAATGAACACACAGATGAACACACATACATGTCAGTGAAGAAATGAGAGTTAGTTGCAGCATAAAAGAAAACAGAGCTGCAGAATGATCACCCAAACCAATCGAGACAAGACATGGACAGGTGACAGATGAACAGAGACTTCRTGCCGTGCATTTGAGACAACTTGTCTCTTTCACATACATTCAAAAGCAAAAATCACATCTGGTTAAAGCTTTGTGTTTCAGAAAGAATAAATAAATAAAAGCAGCCAGAAAAGCTGTTATAGTGGGTGCAGACTGCAGCACACGCAGACCTCCTCACCATCATAACTCTACCACACTATCCTGACTGGACCACTGCGAAAGACCCCGTAGATCAAAGAGATACAGAAGGTAAATTATCTCTACGAACGAGATTTTAGTACATTACTGCAATCAGTCAAATCATTTTTGTTTGTTCTATTTAATCTGGTTCATTACAGCACTAACTGAATATCATCAGAAGAAAATGTAAAAATACCAGAATGTGAACTTACAAAATAAATGTCGGAAACTTGCACCTCCCCGTCCAGCGAGTTGTGGCTGCTGGACACCGAGAGCTGGTTTTGCGACACACGTGGCGCCCGCTGAGGCGCCTGGGGGCTTGAGGGGGTGGAGGAGGGGGGTGTGGACGGGACGTGCTGAGAGGAGCTCTGGGTGGAGGAGCGAGCGGACGCCGGGCRGATAGGGGTGAAGGCCGAGGCCGGGGGGAGGGAGGAGGGGTCGGGAGTCAGATCCGTGAGCGCAGAGATCACGGCCGACTGAGAGACCGGAGAGGAGAGAGTTAAAGCCCGCGCGGCTCCCGGAGAGGCGAGCGGTTTGCTGGACGGGCGGATGGATGAGGAGAGCGTGGCGGATGACTGGGCAACACATTGAGGAGAGGAGGAGGAGGATGACACAAAGGACGGAGGAAGGGTGGCGGAGGAGCATGCCGAGGATGGACAGGAAGTGGAGGAAGCAACTGTTGGATGATCGAACGACTGTTGGTTGGAAGAGGTGGCTTCAGTCATCTGCGTGAGCTCCGTGCTCTGTGGGATTTGGCTGCACAGAAGAAGACATTTAACGGTGAAAACACACCAACACTTATGTTTGAAATGTTGCTTCTGTTCATCCGTGTACCTCAGCTCCACCTCCACTGTTATGGTCTCCTGTCGATCCCCGTGGACTTCTACTACCTCTTTTTGGGATCTTTTTACAGCAAAAGAACACACAACGTGTGAGCTCACGTGAAACCGTTACCTCGTTAAAACAACCTGTGAAAGTTTTTCTACCTGGCCACATTTGGTGAAGGCATTTGTCTTCTGGAGCGGGGATGTTCGGGCGTATCAAACGGGGTGGTGGGTATAGAGTTGTTGGATGATAGAGTGGTAGCAATAGACGCTGTGGTAGCATCTTCGAATGAAGGAGGGGTGCAGGGTGGCTCCTTATCTGAGTAGCATAAAACACAACGTCATGAGCCGAAACAGATACACCTGTTCACTGATCAATACGTTTGGTTTTATATTATTTAAAGAGGAAACTGAGTAGCAACACTGAGACTAAAGAGAAACATACYGTCTTCAAACACAGGGAAGCTGCGAGCTCCTCTCAGGTTCTCCAAGTTGTCCAGGTTCTCCTGCCTCTCGTCACTTAGCGAGGGACGCTGCCCACCAGACTTGGACAAGAGGAACGTCCCTCTGCCTCTCTTAGGAGACGATCGTAACGCTGTGAAAGGAGGATGGGATTTAACTTTTTTCTTTTAAGTCTTTCACAAAAACTAATTTGTTAGCATTTTTTTTCCTGCAAACTCACAGCAGCTTTTTTTGAAGACAACCGTGCTGCAGAATCTGTAGAACCTCTCGGCGTAAAAGCTTGGCCTGTGAACTGACACGGTGTCCTGGGGAGGGGGGAATGCAGTGTTTGTTACAATTATGTTGTTTTTTTTTTTCAAAAAAAAGAAAAAGAAGCAAAGAACATGATGAATTTGATATGCGTAGACCCAGCTGCCACATGAAAGTAACTTACTCCATCATGGATGAGAGACTTCCAAGAGTGCTCCAGTTTCTTAATCATTCTGTCAGAAAAGACAACAAAAACACAATTATTATTAGTTTATTTTAGGACTTGTACAGTTTTCATCCATTCAAGTATCTAACTTTATTACATAGAAACTGGAACCTTTGGCGTAAAATCTGTATTTGCCTACTCTTTAAATAAAGAGATTGGGCCTCATGCAAGAAC